TCTAGAAAGTGCAATGACCACCTTATTTTTACCTCTTTTATATTGAATTGAGTAGTTTAATCCAAGCAGTTTATACTTTTTTGTTGAAGCATGAAGTTACTTTTTGCTCCAGCAAAACTTTAATGCTCTTTTTATCAGTTCTTATGACGAAGGAAGCACCCTCAAGGTAGTGTCCTCATTTGCATACAACATAGAGAATGGCTAATAATTCGTTCTCATAAATGGACAACACTTGGTCCCTTTGACATAACCCTTGGGCCCTTTGACATATAGAATGGCTAATAGTTCTTTGTCATCTTTTTTCTCCCGATAGTGCCACTTGTCTGGCCCTTCGTGTGTATACTCGAAGCTGCTTTGATTTCCCTGCTCACTGGTTCATCTTCCCTTTTGTGACCCCAAATTCATCTGCTGCCTCCCATTCCATTTTTCTTACCATGAGCTCGCCCTGTTTCCCTACTTTCAATCACATTTTTACCTCAGTAGGCTTGGTTCCTAACAACTTACTCCCAGGGCTGGGATAGGGTGCTCTTCCTGGCATCCCTATGGACTGAAGGGCATACATGCTACCAGGATATTAGCATCTCTAATCTTCAATGCAATTGGGAAATCATTATTCATTAGTCTTGACAGCTAGCCTCTCTTTCTATCTCTTTTTCCATTCCTTATCTTCTTTTTTGTTTTTGGTTGGCTTTTATTTTGATTTTATTTCTTTTATTTCTTTTGTTTATATGTCTCATTTTTCTTCACTGTATTTTCCTCACCTGAACTTAATATAATCTTCTTTTTCTATCAAAGAAAAAGTTTAAGAATTTGAAAGACTTGCAGGAGCAAACTTGCTAGGCATTTTACGAGTGCAATTAAAAATGAGATCAACATATAAGAAAGTGAGATAGAGTGCTTGAACAACCATCCCTATACTTCTTACATTCTGTCTGGTACCTGCTAACTAGGGTTGCCCACTGTAGTCTGACTACCAATTGTTTCAAAACATAAATTAATAGAAAATATAGATTTACCATTTATATTTTAGCACCAACCATCATAAGAATATAAACAATAAACAATAAAAATAAAAAGAAATAAACTATATATGAGTTACAATTAGCGAAAGGAGAAATCCCTTTATACCATCTATAAATAGAAGGCATCGAATAGCCATTTGCAGTTGGGGATGACTTTAATTATTTAAAGTGGTACTTTTGCTGGTGTACCTGGATCACGAGGATATTTTCTTGGGGTTGGATGATGTTTCAAAGATATGATAGCTGTTCGCTGTCCATATGGGCTATGTGATTCCACTGAAGACAATGAGAAGGTACAGAAATCACTTCAAAAAGAAGCATCTGAACACATTACAATTATGCAAAGAAGTTTTACTGCCACAAGCTTAAATTTAAGAGAAACCCTATATCTCTTAATAGGTTCAATCAAAAGCCTGTGAACCAAGCTCAGGATAACAAAAAGAATATTGATACCATGCCAAACTTGAGAAACAGAAAAGGACAGAGAGCAATATGCCTTCTAATGTCACAGATGCAAAGCCTATGTCTCAAACGTGAGGAGGAAAAACCGTCCAACATGGAACAAAGCATAAATATCCTATTTCCCATGGCAAAAATTTTAATGCAGTGCTTAGTCACAATTTGGTTTAGTGAATCATAAGGGAGCACCTATGCACGCATTGTGCACTTATATCTGACATTCCTATCTTCAGAAGTACATTTAATTCTGGATCATGATGTTGCTGCTGGTTCTTTCAGGATCCAATTTATGAGCATTCTGATTCATGAAGAGTATTGTCACAACCGGGGAACATAAGGACAAAGATGAGCAAGGTAGCAGGGGATCCAATCCTTTAATGGTTTACAAATATCGAGCTGAGTGTTACATGTCCAGTGCTCCAGGAATAGTAGAGAAGGATGAAATAAATGGTTATCCGTATCTGGAATTTGTTTTTAGATGCTCATTCTGTTAGGGTTCTTTTCACTGGATATTGAATAGAATTTGTTCTGAATTTTTTATGGAAGTATATAAGAGAAATTGTAGCCTGATCTTCAGGTATGATGAAATTTCCCTAATCAAATCTAGTCTAAATCAGCAGTTCCTAGTGAATTTTCAGAATTCTTCTCCGTTCTCTCTCTCCCCCTCCTATCTCTCTATCTTTCTCCTGTCCCTGATTCTCTCTGACCATTCTTCTCTAAATTTCTATTCTTCATCTCTGACTTGTTGCTGGAGTACATGTCAAAGGACCCTGGCAAGTATTATAGTCAACATTTCTCTTCTCTTCTAGAAAGAAATATTTTCTAAAAACTAACACCTCCATAGCTTTTGTAACTCTACCGCACTCTCCAAATTCTCCAAAACATACTTAAGAGATGAAAATCAGGAAAAACGACCACTTTTTTCCTCTCCAGTACTTGATGACTTCAAACAATCTAGTTATGGAAGTAGATAAGCCAATCATATTGTAGATAAGCCAATCATATTTACCAATCACCCGCAAACTATTTTCTCTTATAAATCAAAGGATAAACAAAATGTTAGAAGAATGAGACCTCATCTACATCTAGAAAAGAGAAATCCGTCGCTTAAGTCTTTTGTCATAATCAAATATTTCGAATTTTGACTCTTCATCTCTCTAAATTGCCAGTCATAGAAACCTTCTCTTTTTTTTTTATAGTTTTTAGAGTTTTTAGTCAAACATAAACATTCCATGTTCCGTTTCAGTTACCTAAAAATGAAAAACCCAAATTCAATTTTGATAAATGGCTAGGTTTGGTTAATTTTTAAAAAAAATGTTTTTTTTTTGTAGTTAAAGGTGGCAGAAAAATTAATTAACCAAAGACTCATTTAGTGAAACAAATAAATTCCGAACTTGAGAGCTTAATTGGAAAATGCTTAGGAAACCCGTTCCAGGTACAATTTTTTCATTTGGTTAATTGAATAATATTTCTTCCGCCCTTTTTAATAATATTCCTTTTGACAAAGAAAAAAAAAGGTTACTTAACGGGAAAAGAAATGATTTTTTAAAAAATAAAACAAATCATTTAACTTTTGGTTAACAAAGTTAAAACTCAAAGCTTCTTCAGTTATTTCAATTACATAGTAATTAGGCTTTGTTTTTTGGTCTCAAGATAATTCGGCTATTCAGTAACTGATTTACAGTTTCACCACTGACTATCTGCATCCCTACTACATGTGCTAAACTTGAATGATTCCATATAATGTAGAGACTATGTAGTTCAGCAAAAACTATCCAACAAACCACATATCCAACCCCACATACAGGAAGAACTGATGGGTCAATACTGAAAATAAAACAAACCTACCTGAACACATCTGCAACATAGAAGCACCCATCAACTGAACTGCTCTTTCCGCATTTCTAACTTCCTCCTATAGGAAATTGGAATGCACCATATTAAAGTTAGCTTATATGTAAAATAAGACAAATACAGTTTAATTGATATGTGATTTGCCTCATTTCAAATTAAAAACTTCTGGTTCTATAACAGTTTATGACCTTGTAAGTTTCACTAATAAAAGAATAGGCAACTAAGCTATTTCAATGACAAAAATAAATCTCAAATGCCTTTACTATTTGTTTTCTGTTGAAGATTATTTTACAATCGGCAATAAGTGAACGTAACATGAGCATAAATACTGAAGTATCGATATATTATTATACATGCTAATGTATGTTACAGAAATGAGCTAAAATATAATTTGTGACAATTCAGCTAATAACCCCATACAGAACAACACGAATTTCAACCAATTCAATCTGCCTACCACTTCAAGGACAAAGATTATTTAAGTTGGTCACAATTGATGCAGACCATTCTCAAGGGCCAAGGAAAGCCAAGTTGTCTCCTTAGCACTGGACCAAAGTCGGGAGACTTCGCTTTCGATCATTGGAATGAGGAAGATTTTATCACTGTAGTCTGGTTCTGGAATTTTATGACTCCAGAAATCAGTAAACCAATTATGTACCTGCCCACAGCAAAAGACATTTGGGATTGACTCCAAGAAACCTATTCTAAGGGAAAACTATACACATCCCAGATGTATAATTTGACCATCAAAGCCTAGAAAATTAAACAAGGCAACAAAACAATCACAAAATATTCAAACCTTTTAAAAAGATTAATACCATAGAATCACTATGCGAACAGCAAAGATGCGTCAGCCTTGAAGAAATTTGTTGAGAAAGATAGAGTATACTGATTCAATGAGAACTATAATCAGACAAGAGTCCAAATCCTAGGAAAGGAATAGATGTCATATCTTAATAAGGTGACCACAATCAGTGCAGAGTAAGGTAGAAGAGGAGTTATGCTTAAATCTAGCACAATTGAGAGCTCTACAATGATAATTAAAGATTCCAAACCACAACAATTGAGAAAGGAACCTAATCACAGTGAGACTTCAACGATTGATGAGAAGAACAAGGAAAATCTAGTATATCTTCTGCAAGAAACCAAGGCACACTATAGAAAAGTGTTGCAAGTTTTATGAAAAGCCGACCACCTTTAAAAAGGATTACAGGTACAAGAAGAACCAAATACAGGCACATTTACCCTAGGAGGAGAAGAATGCAGAGACCTATGATTTCGAGGCGGAAATTGAGCAATTGCAGACTCAGCTTGAGCAACTTGGAAAACCTAAAAGTATAAGTCTAATAGCACATTCAGGTATGTTTTACATTTCTTGTGGTTTAACTGCCTCAGAGAAATTTTTTCTTATGTCATGGATTGTAAAGTCAGGAGCTAAACGATCATATGACAAATACCTCCAAGTTTTTTAATACCTATGTTCCATGTCCCAGCGATAGGAAAATTGTCACCGCTGATGGTTTATTGACCATAGTAGCAAGATGGAAAACATAAACTTCACCTCTCACTTTACATTTACTGATATACTTCATGTTCCTCAACTATGCAAAAACCTTATTTCAGTAACTAAATTATCCAAGACCTTGATTATAAGTGATTTCTTCTTCTTCTCATTATGAATCTCAGGATCAAATTTTGAGGATAATTGAATGTGCTGAGACTCAGAATGGACTATACTTCCTAGATACGCCTGAGATACCACGTACCACACTCTCCAGCAGTACACTAGACATACTATGGCTATATCACTGAAGATTGGGACACGCTTCTTTATCTGCTCTCAAGATTATGTTTCCTTCTTTCTTTTCTGATTCTAATAATAACATTGTGATGTAACATGTAATTTTCCTCTAATAATAAAAGAAATAATTTTTTTTTTACCTTATGGTGACATTTGGAGTCCCTCAAATATTTCTAATATTTCTGAAGCTTGATGGTTTGTCTTTTTTTCTGATAATTGGACTTGAGTAACTTAATCTTTTTTATTGAAGTTCAAATATAAATTCAATTATATTCTTCCCTAGTTTTATACTATGATCCATACACAAGTTGAGGTTAAGATTAAATGTTTCAGAACTGATAATCTCCAAAATTACTTTAACCATAAATTGTCCTTCTTTCGAAAAGAAAGAATTACTCATGAGTTTTCCTGTATCTCCATACAAAAAGAGTAGCAAACTTACCACTACCTGAGCTTTTTTTTTTTCAATCA